TAGAAACTAGATTCTACCTTTGTGTTATTATATAATCATTACACTTTTTAAACTTTTGTTGTCTGTTTGATGGCTAAATTGATGGGTGTTTATAAACTTAGAAATAGTTTTGAATATGAAGCAATTAGGAATATCTCTTGCTATCTTATTTATCTTAGTTGATTGTTATGACATTCAGTGGGTTATATTTAATTTCTTATGCGTGGGTGCCTCCACTTTCTATGCTTTACTTGACATGTTCTTTCAAATTCATTATTCTTGAATTTAAATGCTATATTACAATTTCTAAGAAAAGAATATTTATTGGCTGAGGGCAGGTACGTGATAAGTGGAAGCTTTTCAGTGAATCAGAAACTTACTTGAGTGTTATTGTGTTTTGTTTCTTACCAAGGCTTTGTTTAGTGCTAGAAGGTGGTCAGTCTTTACCTTCCTCATGTAACAGCTGCATGCATTTTCTTACTTCAGCCTCTATGAGGAGAGAACTCGGTGGACAACCATTATATAAAAGAAAGGAATATGTGATTGTTTCTTAAGAGATTAATTCAGTTCACTTGCGGTATCTGAAAGAGCCCTATAAAAATGTTTCACATATTCCACAGTATTTTTTTATGTCCACCACTCCTTTTACTGTAGAATACAATGTAGGTAAGATTTAATTTGGGGGGAACTTGCTGAAAACATGAAATCTATGACAATGCTAGCCTTTTGCATTGCTCTTTCTTGTGTTAAAAAATGACCTAGTTATTAAAATAAACATTTCAGAACTTTGAGATGTTTTCTCCTTCTTTTGTGGCTTTTCTGGGTTTTATCCTAGCACTGAAGTATTATTTTGTCCAAGAAACAGAGCAGAGAGAGCTTCTCTTAGTTAAAAATGAATATACAGCTTAAAGCCTTAGGTAATTTCATCTGGGGGGAAGAAGGGAGGAGAATCACACATTGCAGTGTGCCATTAACACTGTGCTTCAGTATCGTTAAGAAACAGGCAGAATTGCCAATGAGACCAAGCTGTCCTTACAAAAAGGCACTGACTTACATATGAGGAATTAACTGAAAAGAAACATTATCATCATGGCTTGGGGGGGTGGTTGTTTATTTATTTATTTATTTATTGAAGATTGTAACTGTAATGAATTTTACACCATATATGTTTTGAAAATATGTGTTAAGTACCTAGGTTCATATTTATATATATTTCCAAATATTGAAATCCACATCCCTAAACTAATAGGCAGATTGTTATGTAAACACTATCATACCATCAGAACTGTAGTATATATTTCCCATGGTTATAGACGTTGTGATACTTCTTGTGCAGTACAAAAACATGTTTGGATTTTCAGACCAAAAAATAATATACATTAAATGAAACTTTTCTTAAGAAGTCAGTCTCAAGTGACTTAACGATTGTCAAAAATGTGTTAATTCTAGTTGTTTGGATGGGATAGGTGGTATTATCAGTGTAATTTGTAACATAGTCTAAAATGATGGAACACTCAAAATATCTGAAGTTATGCTTTCTGTTGGCTCTACAGTTATAAACCAAGAAAGCAACTTAATTTGGGCATGTCTGTGAGATGACAGTGCTTTTTAAAATCTAAAAGTTTATTAAGATTTGTGGGAGTGTGATTTTACTTGTTCCTAACATTTTTCTTAGATAGTGGAAGTGTAGTGTAAATAAACTGTAGTGATGTACACTGAAAAATACTGATGTGCATTCTTAAAGTGTAACCAAATTGTGTTTTGAATCCAGGAAACTAATAATTATCATCTATATGGTCCCATTTTGCTCATGTTTATGCATGTTTCTATCTCTATGAGAACAAGCAGTCTCACTGAACTGCTGAAGCTCCTGAACCGAGTATAGTTACTTATTTGCAAGATTGGTGCGTGCCTAGAAATGGCGCAAGCATATTTTGGATACTCTAAAGTAGGCTTATGATGTTTATGTTCTGTGTACCAGTAACACTATGTAACAGAGCAATCTGCTATTCCCATTTTGATGCTGTGCGTTATAAATCGCTCCTGGGTAGCCCAAGGAACACTACAGGTTTTTATTGTAGAAAACTGCTGTATGCGGTTATATTGTTGCAGCTATCTAACTTACAGGATGTTCTTCCTTCAGTGGCAGTGATTCAGTTTTCTTTGGATGTTTCTTTTCTTTTGTATAAAGTCCAGTGGCCTGGATTTTTTCTTAAAAAAAAAATTGCTGTTAAGTAGAAGGCCCATGCAGAAGATTTTACTTCCTTAATCCAACGTAAGCGTTATTTTGTCACCAGATCAAATGGCCTCCAGAATTGCAAGTTAAGGTTTTTCTAAGATGACAAGGAGATTTAAACATGTAGTTTCCATGGTAGGCAGTAGAGGAAAATGCAGTCCAGTATTCTTTGTGCAATAATGTCTGACCTTCATGATGTTCTTTAGCCAGAAACCCTCTCGGCTGCAGCTCAAGGCAAAGGCTGGTAGCATTGTATGCTCCTGTGAATGGAGGCTGGAGCTAAAAAAAAGAGGCAGTTCCAGACATTGTGTCCCAGAGCACAACGTTCAATACCTGATCCTCAGGTAGTAGTGAGGAACTTTGAGTCTCGGTTTTGTCCTACTGTCAACATCATATCTCTTTCTCGAGAAATTAATTTTGTTTAACTAAGTCAGTTCTTTTTTAGTTGGGAGTGTAGGTGTCTTCCAACACTCATTTGTCCTTTTACCTCCCACACCAGTACTATAGTAAGGTAGTTTGTTTATTTTTTAACCTTTCCAAAATCCATACATATATCTGTCCTGGAAGTTAAACTATATACTAACCCCACACTTATATCTTCTTTGCCTTAGTTATTTTCACTTGTTTGGTGGTCTTGCCAATGTGGTTTTGGAAAGCAATAGGATACTGAACTTTTTTTCTATTTAGTTGCTACTCCAATGTTACACACCTTCCGTTTGCATTAGACTTTGGCATCTGATCAATGCAAAGATAACATTTAATATTTTATTATTTGTAGTGGCTTTCAAGAATCTTAGTTTCTGAGTTTTCCCATCTGGCACTTTGATTTATTTCATCAATTTTGTATGGCTTTTAACTTTGGGGCAATATGGATTTATGTGTCTAGTCTTTGTATCTGTATAATTTTCTAGTGCAAGGATTCCTTTCATGTTGTTCCAAAGTGGTCCATTTTGTTTGTTTATTTCTGTATTTTATATCTGTAATGCACTCTGATATTGGAAGAATACTTTCTAAATCATCAGTACAATAACCACTTGGTGTTTCTGAAGGATCATGTCAACGTTAAAGCCCACTCTTCATAACGTTCCCATCCGTAACTAAAATCATATTTCCATCCCACTAATAGTAAAGCAGTGGGACACACAGCAAACTGACATTAGAGATTGCATGCTGATGGTAGGAGAATGAGAGATTGTTCCCAGCCTTGGGTTTTGGTCCAGTAAGAAAACAAGGAGTAAAATAGCTTGGAAGGTTGAGTACTTAGTAATTAAAGTATTAGTAAATAGCATGCCTGGATTTCTAAAAAGAATGAAAATAAATGTGTGTACTTGCACAAACACACCTTTAAAATAACTTTCTTTTTTAGCAATGCTTTTATAGCTCTTCTATTCACTTTCTTCTTTTAATCTCCTTCATCCTTTTCTGTATAATATATGAAGGCTTTTTGGTGATAATAGCTGCCAGCCTTCCATTCCTAAACTCCACAGCTGCACTGTCGGTATCTTCAGCAGATTAGATCCCTCTTGAAACTGGATGTACTGTTTTTTAAAACATTAACTTTTGCTCTTTAAAAAAAAAAATGTGTTTTTTTGGGTTTTGTTCTATTTTAGTAACCTTAAGATCTCTAAATTTATTTTGGAAATAATCTTATTTTCTTTGAACTGTGTAATGCATTTGGACATTTTATTCTGAATATCATGTGATTGCTAGTATTTTCAAAGTAATGAGAGATATATTGGATCCATAAGTCCTTTTCCCACAAGCTGATTTTGGCTCATCTTCCTTGAACTACTAAATAGTAGTGATAAACAGTAAATAGTGATCTGATTCTTCTTCTTGATGCCCGTTATTGGAGAGAGACAAGGTCTTATGTACTCTTTCACAGAGAGAGACAGCACAAAGCCCGTGCCTTTCTGAAATCCTACAGAAGCTCTTAAGTTAGATCTTGGATGTTGTATGGACCCCTGATGGCCATCAGCTTGCAAATGGATTTTGTTTTATGTGATGTAAGGCTGCAAGGATGTTTATAACTGCATCCATTGTATATGAAAATAACTGGGAAATACACTGGGCCAAATCCAGAAGTTGCTGTTGGGGAAAGAAAAGAAAAACTGGCACTTCAGGATAACTGACGTTTTAAAATGGACTTCAGATTTGACTTGTTCTGCATCTAATGATCGTTACTTTCTTTATAAGGGCTTGACTTCCACCTTTTTTTTTGTGTGTGTGTTGATTATTTTTTTTTCCCCTTTGAGCATCTCCTTCCTTTACCTTATTATTGTTATTCATATTATGTGGCCTTGGTAATTCCCCAGTGACAGGTGTATATGATGAGCCTCTCTGCGTTTCCCTTCCTATGTCATCCTAATCAGCTCAAGCACGGGTTTGACTTTCTTCTGTGAGAAAGTTATGACAGACTGGGGTCAGCTAACACACTAGCTAATCCTGAGCCAGCCTCAATTTCTCATTCTCAATTGGACAACAACCAGGGGACCAAATTATTCAGTCTTACTCTAGCCAAAATCCCAATGTGGCCAACTAAGCCTTGAAAAAATGTGGGAGGTTGTGGCACTTTGCTCCTGAGTTGCATCTGTTGTATAAAGGTGTTTCGCTAATTAGGAGAAAAGAAATCCAAAGCACAGTTGTTTATTTACCCTAGACTTGATGCAGCCTCTGTGTTCCTCATATTCTGCTCTTCCTGTCAGGTCTATGGGCTTGTTTTACTGAAATTGTATTATTTTTTTCCCCCTCTCTTTTTTTTTTTTTTTTTTTTCTCTCCCCCTAGACTGGCAGATAGCTACTCTTGCTTTGCTGTTGGGTGGTGCTGCCATTATTCTCATAGCTTTCCTGGTTGGGTTGATCTCTATCTGCGTGGGATCTCGGAGGCGGTTCTACAGACCGGTTGCAGTCATGCTCTTTGCTGCAGGTAAGCAGATTACGAGCACCATCACAAAAATTTCATGAGAGATGCTTCACTTTTGTGAAGGAAGACATGCCTTGTTCTGCATACTAATTCAGAGGCATTTGGTTTACTTCTGTGTTAACTCCGGTGAGGTTTTTCAGGATACTGGTTCTGTACAGCATTAATAATTTTTGCAGTTGCACTATTCTTCATAAACAATTATTTATTTGCATTATATTTATTGTTTTGTGAAGTACATGCAGTGGGGGAAACTACAGAGGATAAATCTCAAAAGTACCATTTTAAATCTGTGACTTTATGCTGCTTGATGTCCCCGTTTTTATTCTTCATGCAAAGCCATTTCTGTTATTTTAATGTTCTTCCTTTTACAGTTTTAAAACAGGAAAATTAATGCCCGAATGTGAACCCTTGAAGCCCTACGTGTGAAAATAAATAGGATTAGGTTGCAAGGTGTTTATATATGTCCCTGTGCCATGAGGAATTAATTTCATTGTGTCTGCTTGCTTACTTAGTTATTAATTTAACAAGCTGTCACAGTGTAGTCCCTGTTTGGTTTTAAAAACATGAAAATGGAACAGTTTATACAAACTATCACAAAATCTTAAGGGAGACCTATGAATCTGAATTGTCTGTAAGACTGGTCCAGTGAGGTGTAATTACAATATCAAATCATGTCCTTTTTGTACATTCTGGTGTTTTGGGGCTTAGTCAGCACGGATGTTTCTGTTTCTCCTGAGATTCACCAAACCTTCATCCTGGTTTGCCTTCATCCTGTCACTCATATCTGCATCAGAGCCAGCAGCTTAAGCCCCTTTCTGATAGCCCATAATGAAGAGGATAACAGAACCTAGTCTTCAGGATGTATTAAAAAAAAAAAAAAAAAAAAAAGCCACTTTACAAGGATATGAAAAGATAAAAAGCAAGGAATTTGCAGGGAATTCAGGGATGAAACAAAGCTCCAGGGAAAGCTCCTGCTGCCCCCTGCTGATAATGGTACCTGGACTGAGCCGCAGCGCGTCAGGATGCACTTTTATTTGCTCAAGAGATACTGATAGGTGATGTTTCATTTGCTTTTAGGAAATGAATGCAGCCTAGGATCAGATTTCCTGAGCGGAAATTGTATCTTTTTGTTCTATGTGTCGCATTGCTTGCTTGGTTGGATGAGTAAAGGCCCTGGTGCCATTATTTTAAAATTTAGTATTAATTCGGAGGTTATAAAGCATGCTGGGCAGTTAACTTTGAAGGAAATGGGATTATTGAATTTCTGTAGTGGTTTCTTATTTGGCTTTTGACTTAATTTCTCATAATATTGCGTAGTAACTTAGCAATTATTCAGCCATACACTGCCTATCTTGCCATATTGCTCATTTAGTATATAGTTAAGTTTGTACTAAAAAAATAAACAACTTTCTCCAAGAAAAAATTTCCCCAAATCCTGCTATTGAGCTTAAAGTTTAATCTATTCTCCTCTGCATAAAATTAGTTCTAGTCTTTACTGCAAAAGTTTGGGGGTAGGGGGGTTTGATGCTTACTTGCATCAAAAAGGAAAAATATATTTTCCTGGGGTCGAGTGGACCCTCAGCAAGTTTGCTGACGGCACCAAGCTGTGTGGCGCAGTCGACGTGCTGGAGGGAAGGGATGCCATCCAGAGGGACCTGGACAGGCTTGAGAGGTGGGCCTGTGCCAACCTCACGAAGTTCAACAAGGCCAAGTGCAAGGTCCTGCACATGGGTCGGGAGATGAGTGGATTGAGAGCAGCCCTGCAGAGGAGGACTTGGGGGTATTAGTGGATGAAAAACTGAATATGAGCCAGCAATGTGCAATAGCAGCCCAGAAAGCCAACCGTATCCTGGGCTGCATCAAAAGAAGCGTGGCCAGCAGGTCAAGGGAGGTGATTCTCCCTCTCTACTCCGCTCTTGTGAGACCCCACTGCAGTACTGCCTTCAGCTCTGGGGACCCCAACATCAGAAAGACATGGAGCTGTTGGAGCGAGTCCACAGGAGGGCCACAAAAATGATCAGGGGGCTGGAAGACCTCTCCGATGAAGACAGGCTGAGAGAGTTGGGGTTGTTCAGTCTGGAGAAGAGAAGGTTCCAGGGAGACCTTATAGCAGCCTTCCAGTACCTAAAGGGGGCCTACAGGAAAGATGGGGAGGGACTTTTTGGAAGGGCATGTAGTGAAAGGGGTAATGGCTTTAAACTGAAAGAGGGTAGACTTAGATTAGATGTAAGGAAGAAGTTCTTTACTGGGAGGGTGGTGAGGCACTGGAACAGGTTGCCCAGAGAGGCTGTGGCTGCCCCATCCCTGGTAGTGTTCAAGGCCAGGTTGGATGGGGCTTTGAGCAACCTGGTCTAGTGGAAGGTGTCCTTGCCCATGGCAGGGGGGTTGGACTAGATGATTTTTAAGGTCCCTTCCAACCCAAACTATGCTATGATTCTATATGATTCTATGATATTGGTGCTTTAGCTCATGAGTGGTGTTCACCTCTTTCCTTTGCTTCTGTGTGTGGGTGCACATGCATTTTAAATAGCCATGACCTGAAGCATGTAAGTAGAGAGGTGGTGAGGCCAAGACAGCCTGCCCCATTCTTCTACATTTTCTGGCAAATCTGAGGAGAATCCTTTGGGGATTTGATGCTGACACTGTTAGTGTCGTTTCCTACAGGTTTTCTCTTTGTTGTCAGTGATTTTTAGAGGTGAATATGGACTGGCGTATCTTAAAGTAATTATGGAAAGAATCCCCTACTGAAGAGGGAAAAGTTAAAATTGCAGCACAGTGGACTTTGTGCCTTATGCAACTGTCCATGGATTTAAACCTTCACCTGTGGATTTCACAGAAGATCTTTGAGGATAAACCCTGCCCTGACCTGTGAATCTGCCAAATATTCTGTATGACTCTGGTTAGGAGTCTACCAGCTGCATCTGGAAGAAGGACATAGGATGCATTGCTCAGAGACATTTAATGATCTGTGTGGGTGTCAGGTAGAAAACGTCACTATGTGGGAGAAAGGACAAAATGGAAAAATGGTTTCCAGGCACTTTAGAGTCTGAACAGTTGGCTCCAGGCATTTTTTTCTTCTAGTTTTGATTTATTTTGATTTATTTTTCTTTTTTTCTCAGCTTCAGGTTTCAGTTAGTGACTCTGTAGGTGAGGAAGAAGATTGACTCACTAGGTCTGGAAGAGACGAGAAACCAAAAGGACAAAAAAAGTAATTCAGCCTAGATACTGAGAATAATCCAGCAAGTGATCAACAGATGTGAATGCGTTTAAAATATGTACTGTCAGCTCTGTGTAATGGGGAGAGGAACAGGAATACCTCAGGTAATGGAAAAACGTGGAGCATAGAGAGAGGCAGTTGCAGGACACTCTTGCGTGGACCCACCTTGGCCCCTACACTTCTTCCCAGCATTTTTGATCTGGTAGAGGTCGCTAGTTTATGTACTTGATGGGAGCGTCTTAGTGCTCATGAACCAAACTGGCCCTGAAAGCTGCACCCTCAAAGTACAAACTCACAAACTTGACAATGTAGGAGTCTCATGATATGGTTACCAGATAACTGACTGCTAACAGAGCCTTAATTTAGGGGTAGAAAGAGAAGGTGTTATTGTTGGAAGTCCATAAAAGCAAACAAAAAATGTAATTTAAAAGGCGTGTGCCTTCTGGGGCTATGTTTTAACAATTTTAACAATGTTTAGAAGAATAACCTGTTGAGGTTAGTAAGCTTTTAACACATTTCACAGGATGCTTTTGCATGTAAGCTAGGGAAACAGTGGCTAAGTGAAAGTATTACAGGTGAGAGAGTAAAAAAAATGACAGCAGATAGTATTTGGAGAATACTTAAAGGAAGTGCTTTACTCATGTGAATGAGCAGGAGGGATGGTGTGGAGAACAGAAATACAGAACTTACTAGCCAGCAACACCATTTTGATTGTAGACCAATTAGAAAGCCACACAATAAGGGGTTTTTTTGACAGCAAAACTCTTATAGTCAAACATTTGAACAAAGAAACAAAGATGATTGAAATTGTGTTTTCCTAGTTTTAAAGCATTTGTTGTGATTTCTGCGTGTTTAATATGGTGAGTACATATAATTGCATATATTTCATGTAAGTAGAATAAAACTAGTATTCCTCTTCCTGGGCAATTGTCTTGCAGGCATTGTATTGCTACTCATAAAAATGGGTCTAAATTGAAAGTGAATAGTCTAGTTTGAGATGACTAGTCTTTTTTGAGTAGCATTTTGAAGTGGAAATTTTTTTTTAAGATTTCTTTTGCAGCCTTTTTTTCTACAGGAAAAGACTAGCGCTTCTGAAGACAGGTAGTACACACCCTTCCTGACATAGGTCAACATAGCACAGAGTTCCTTTAAATTCATCGGAAGCAGATCAGTAGTTGCAAGCATTGGTTTTAACGTCTTTTGGGGTCATACTGGTCATTTTTCATAACTCCCCTAACTGCTGTTTCTAGCCTAAACAGGTCCCTTCCCACTCTACAGGGAGAAACAGTGACGGGAGGCAAAAATAGTGCAAAGTGATGACAGTGTTACGCAGTGTGGTTGTTTCCACTGGCTAGTTGCTGCCAGCACTTCCTTTGAGTTTTACAACAGTGTAGCTGGACCAGTAGTAGCAAAAGCAGGAACCCTCGCTGTAAAAATGTCTAAAATACCTGTTGTGGGTGTTGCTGCTTTAGCAACATGTTCTGCTTCCAAAAGAATCACTGTTTTTGTTTTGACAAGTCCAATCTGTACATTAAAATTCAGCATACTTCGTATGTTAGATGGAGGGAAGGTGGAGAGCTTCCTTGGTTGGCACTTGACACAGGCAGTTTCTGTATTGACTCAGCAGATGCCACATCCCCAGTTCAGGAAGCCACTAAAAAACTTGCTTATTTCCATTCATCTTAGGAAATCCTTTTTGACTTTGGATGATCTTAAAGATGTGTCTGAAAGCTGAGCATATGTTCAGGTGGTTTTGGGTATAATGATGCTCTCGTTATACAGAATTGGAATGCATAATCTTTTCATAAGAGTAGGTGCTTCCCCTAGTGTACCCTGTCAAAATTTCTCCAGTGTTGCAGAGTGTTTTGTGAGCTGGCGGACAAAAATTACATTAAAATGGAATAACACAAAGTAACACTTCAATAACTTCAGGATTAAAAAAATCCTGTGGATTTTGGTATCCACATCAGAAAATCCATTATCCAAACGTTATTCAGGTTATCAGTCTCAAGTAAGAGTCCAAAGACTAGTCTGTAGGCTGGGGGGGGGGGGGGGCGGTGAGAAATTTCCAATTAGTGTTTTGTAAAGTGTTATCACCGAGGGTGTAATGAACATTGGAAATCATCTCCCCATACCAGTCCCAACCAGAGTGCATGTCAGAATGAAAAGGCAAATGACAGACTTGGAGTGTGCAAAATGTTCACGCAGTAGAATATAGTTAACTTTATTTTATTTTCCTGTAATTTCTCAGTGTAATTTCAGAAGGGCTTCTGTAGCCCAAAGTAGTCTTCCTCTCTGTTATCCGCTGGCATTTTATATTGGCTCTGGCTTCGTAACAATTCTCTAAATAGTGTTCGTTCTTCTTACAATAGCTAATAAACTAAAAAATGACCCAGTCAATGTTAAAGGAAGTAGTTATTATGGCATTACACTGCGTACCGTTGAACTTTCATCAGAGTATGTCTCAGGCCTGCGAATACTTAAGCACGTGCTTAACTGTGTGGATGTGCTCACCCTGCCTGGAATCAGAGGCTGGGGTAGTTTGCAGAGGCACTCGCATGCCAAAGTCTTCAAAAATTGCTAGGGTTAAATGCTGGAAGGGAGCATTGCCGTAAGGTCGATCATATATCTGAGGGGCAGAAAGGATGTTTTGTACATTCTGGTGATGTTTAGTCTTTTGTGGGTGGCAGAACAAGAGGCCTGAAGAATCAATACATCATACAGCTTGTTCTCGTCTTCAAACCAAGTGTAATTTTCACCTTACCTTGGAAACTGTTGTCCCAATTTTCTGTTAACAGTGCGCCTGGATTTAAAAGATGCCAGTGAAACTGAAGCCTTCTTGTGAAAATTGGGGTTCTTCATCTGTATGTTTTCCTTTTCAGGTTACTGTATGTGGGGGTTTTTTTGATGTAGCACAGTAATTAACAGATTTGCTGAATTCCGCTGCAGACATGTGGATCGGGCTGCAGATCTGGCTCTCAGAGACAGTGCTGTAGAAAGTAATGATTTTTAAGCTTTTTACTGCCTTGGATTTGGTCTGGTTTATTAGCTTTTTTTCATCATGAAGCATTTCTGACACACCCCCTAAATTCATAATACAAGGCAATGTTTTGCCAGTTGGAAGTTCAGTGACTGATCAGACTTTATAGATTCCTTGGTATTCTGTGTAACAATATCATTAATTCTGATTACAGTACACAGTAATGCATATGAAATATGTAATTTAGTGAGTCTCTACTGAACATAAATATGTATCACCTACTACAACGAATTATTTCTAGGCTAAGTAAACAATTTGATTCTGAGCTATATTTCTTAATATTCATTTATTCTTGCTTCTTGTTTTGACTTATAATAGCTGTAGAACAAGTGATCTTAGTTTTGTTATTATGGAGGGAGTAATGGCTGCAAACTAAAATACGAAGGAGAGACAGAAAAGAATTGGGAAAAGATTGCTTTCACTGTTTATTTCATGGACATCTAAGGATTGTCATTATACCATAGCAATAGCATTTGTTCATTAACGAGGGAATATGGAAGAATGTGTTCTCTGTGAATGAAATGAAGGTGATTTTTTTTTCAAAAAGAGCAGTACTTACAAGCTAAAAATGCACCAAGAGCATTTTAAATATGAATTTCAGTTATGTGATGTTTTCCTTGTTTTATAGAAATTAATTAAGGCTGCTTCTGACATGTGGTTTTTTTCTCTTTCAGTTGTTCTTCAGGTGTGCAGCTTAGTCCTTTACCCAATCAAGTTCATCGAAACGGTCAGCTTGAAAATATACCATGAGTTCAACTGGGGCTATGGCCTGGCTTGGGGTGCAACTATATTTTCATTTGGGGGTGCCATTCTTTATTGCCTGAACCCTAAGAACTATGAAGACTATTACTAGAATCATTTAATGAAAAGAAAAATAACAAAAGGATTACCCCATCTTTTCTAACTCACAGTTTTTTTAGAACACTTGTGGAGCACCAAACAGTCTGCTCTGTTGATAAAATAGCCTTTGCCTTTTGGGTGTGAACACTATAACCAGCTTTTACAACCATTTAAAAGAACTGCAAACACTAGGATTGCTGATCTTACATAGGCAGATGCTGCAAGCTGCTGATACATAAGCTTCATTTTTCCTGACAACAAGCAAAAGGATCTACGTGACAACGATCATTGTGAGAAAACCAGTTGGAATGAGAATGCAATGCCAGCATCTGCTATTGCCTTCAGGGGAGCAGCTGGTATAGGCTCCATTTAGAAGTTTCCCTGTATCATAGAGGATTCAGATGTCTGATAAGCAGGCAATGGCATCTTGTACAATAGGCTGTGTTGGCCCCTTGTTACGTGCTCAAAAAAGCTCTTAAGGAATTAGTTGCAAGTGACTGTGTTGAGGGCAGTGAATGTAACTGGTTAATGACTTGTCTAATATCTGCATTCAGCAGTCTTCTGGGAGAATAATAATAAATAAAAAAAGAAACAAAACCAAAACCAAGCCACCAACCTCACAGGATTTCATGAATTGGTAATCAACTTCACCATGCCAGCTGTAGCAGATTGTTGAAGGAAGTCCAAACGTGGAGACATGTGCTTCTGACTGTGTAGTTGGAAGTTGTCTCAGCTCTGAGTATTTTGCTGGGAGGGTGGAGGTAAGGGGGAGTGGAAAAAAGACCTCATCTGTCCCTGAGGCATTTAAAATGCATGAATGAATTGCAGTTGTCCTAAGTACCCATTTAACTTTCGAACATCATCATGACAAGAATGCATATGGAACAAGTTTAGTTATATTTTTGAAACGTATTTGTTAGTACAAATGAAAATATATAGTACAAGTATAAATGCAGAGGGAGAAGAGACTATTCATCTTAAAATTGTAATATGAGCTGTGATGCAGTGGTTAAAATACTAACTTTGTACACGTTCTTGAGAGTCTTGGATTGGTACCCCCAATTTTGGTTGGTGTTACAAAATAAACATAAAATGGTTTATCTTCCGTATATGCCCTTGTATAGACTCTATGTTATGGGAAATGCTTAAAAGTTCACCTCAAGTTAAGGTAGAACTGGATGAAATAAGTACTCGCTATTCCATGTGTAATCTAGTACTTAACTAAAAATTGTTTTCTAAGGCTGTTGCAAAGAAAAAACTGCCATTTTTATTTTAAATCTAGTTAGGTTGTGAGTGTCTCTGATCATCAAGAATACAGCTGAGACCCCGTCGTGTCCATCTTAAAACATTAGCACCGCAGGAGGTAATATCTTGTTTTTAAAGACTGAGTTTATAATGGACTGGCTGATGATTATGTACATCTAATTACTCCTTCCTTAGTATGTTTCCCACTTAAAAACATCCAGAGACTATACACATGAAATGAAACCCAAGATAAAATAGGGAGAACTTTTACATGAATTTAATCCGCATCACTTTTATTTTTGTTTACGGTTTGCTTATTTGGATATTTTCGATTAATTATGAACATATTTTTATACAATTCTAATCTTTAGAAATAACTATTTTTTTTAATGGAGAAATTTAAAATATATTCTATGTGGACCTCTGCAAAATCAGGTATGCTGGGGTTGCGCATCCACCTCTCTACAAATGGTTTTCCTGGTGCCATGGAAGGGACTGCTGAATTTCTCAATGTTAAGCCCGCATCTACAGTGTTAACGCCTGTGCCACCGGTTGCAGGGCGCAGAGGGACCACAGGGCTGCCTTCAGGTATTGCTGACGTAAAGAGATGGTTTATAAAACTCTGGGGCTCTCTGGAGTTAAATCTTTACTACCATGGCAGAATATTCCATATCAGCAGTCTTTCCAGGACCAGTGGTGATTAATTAGGTTAGATGGAGCAAAATGATAGTTTGACTTTGAAGGGATTATATGGCGATGCCTGGAGAACAAAAAGGATGGCAGGAAAAATTATGTCCACTTGTTTCACAGGCACCAGAGAGCGTTTGTAACTCTGCTTTTTTTTCCTGAGACTGACTTAAGGCGGATATTCAGTATATAGTTAACTCTGTATCTTTCTGAACAGCTGTGTAGTTCTGCTTTTATTTAGCAGCATGGAGAACATTGTAGTTTGGCATGGGAATTAGGTTAACATAGAGAAGCCCACTGTGAGATGTCTGTACCTTTCCAGGAGGACGGTGTTTTGGTGCTGACGTTGCGTGGCACTTCACCTGTGCTGACAAAAAGGTACAGTGCTGAACCCGTATCGTATCCACTAATTTATCCAATCATTTTTCTTTATGTAGAGTTTGAGTGAAAACAACTGTCAGGCCTAAGGCATATGCAAATTAATGGCATGCGCTCTGAAAGTCACCTGGCTGTTAATATGAAAGGTATTCAGGCAAAAAATTTACAAACATGAATGCCTGAAGACAAGGTTCTTCATTCATATTCGGGTCAGAGATCTGATTTTCAGTCTCAATGCCTGCTTTTCCTCTTGAAGGTAATGCAGTCTATTAGGACCCACCTCTCAAACTCCTCAGGTCCTTTGCGTTTGGGCATCCAGTATATATGGGTTTAGGTACCTACTTTTAGCTTATGTTGCTACTGCCGTTTCTTCTTTTTTCCCCTTACCGTTGCTGATTTTGGTAAGCATTCTGTTTCTCAGCACTGAACTAAAAGTAAATACAACATTATGCTGATTTATTTTTTTTTTTCTAGCCACAAAAAGGCTACATACCTGTGTCTTGAGTGTACATACAACAAATGAATCATTCTGTATGTTGTGCTTGTGTCATGCCACCATTATTTCAGTTATTTGGCAGAATGATTCTCTCACACAACAAATCCATTGTTTTTCTTCTAAATATATATGAATAAATACATATATAGCAAACTTGCAAGCAGGGCTAGTTATTTGTATTTTTTAAGCTTAAAGTATACCGTCCGGTGCTGACAAGTACCTAGCACCTCTTCTGGATTTCTTGCACAACTTCGTTTAGCTTTTGTAAATTTTAAAAACAAATATAGAGAGACTTATGTGTTTGAAATATAAATGATATATATGGATTAGCATGTAACTGTATATTATTAAACATGCAATGAACTGACTGGTAAGTGAAGTCTAATCTTATGGCTAGCAATGTAATTTATTCAGACTGTATTTTTGTACAGAGCAGTGCACACTAACCTATTGCCTCTGTGTCCTCTATAATGCCTAAAACTGTGCCTAGAAATTTCATTTCTGTCTTTAAAGGAAAAAAAAAAAAGACAACTAAATGCTTCATGTTGTTGATGGTATTGGTTTTTCTGATGTTGTTCTTATTTATTTTTGAGAAGTGTGTGGTATGTTTATTAAATGAATCCATCAAAATACGGTTCGTTTTAAATGGTCATTGTTAGCAGGGAAAGACACGTGGTTTTTTATTAAAACTTTTAAGTTTGCAGTTTTAATACCATTCCTGCATTTCACGATTTTTGTAGCTTACATAAAGTTTTATGTGAAAAAGTAACTGAAATAAAAAAATTGTTACACTAACCAAATGTGCCTGTTTTGCTCTGAGTAGAATATGTATGCAGCTGAAATGGCGTGGTTTTCTGTTGGGCAGGCTCAGAAGGAACAGTCTGCTTAGGCTAGTGAATATGCTTGGTATTTGGTTGCCAGACTAAGGGAGTCTTACCAAAATACACAGGGGGAGAGAGGGAGAGATGCAGGATCTTGCCAGTGTAACCCCTCCATCTCACCTGGCCATAGAACCAGTAGCACTGGGTAGGTGTCTGGGTGTCACAGAGCCCATACTGCCTTTATAAAAATGCAAGTATTGTAACATCAGAAAGCCAAATTGCTTTTAATGTGGTAAATAACAAGGCCATGTGTTGAAATGGGAATCTATACTGAGCACCTTGTTCCAGTGGGGGAATTTATTCATGACATACAGGTTTCTTTTTCACGTTTCCAATAACTAATACTTTATTCCATTGTGATTCTGAAAGCCAGGTTACTTTTCACCCTGAAAAAAACCCCAGATACTGGTTTTGAACCTGAAACGTGGTGGTGCAAAAATGGAAAAGCATGTTTAAAACACTGAAAACGTTACACCGTGGTGTTTCTACTGTCCGGTAACCCGCTGTCATCCTCTGCATCGCTGGGTACCTCTCATGTGAGCGGGCGGCAGCGTGAAGAAGGGGCTGCCAGCAGAAAGCGATAGGAGGGAGAACGGAGGACAGAGCCTTGGCTGCCGTGGGCTACTGCAAGGGGCAAGTGTAGGCACGAGGGTGGGGTGCCCAGGGTGGAAATCGAGTCATGGAAAAGGAATTCAGAGCAGGGAGCGAGTATGATAGGGGTGGAGGATGAGGCGGTGTCTGAAGATTTGTTTTCTTTTGAAATGCGAGCACAATTGAAGGAGGAAGGAAGTTCATAGGGAACTATGAATCCACAGCCACTGGGGAGCGAGGGAGCAAGCGAGAGGTGGTGGAAGGCGTATTTCTTGAAATCTGCATTAAAATTCTGGTTGTAGTGCGTGTGGCTTTAGAGGGCATATTCCTCAAGGGTTTGACCTGAGCTTAATGCCCAAATTTTAGGTCATCTGTGCGCCTACATGTTGGCGCGAGGTCAGAGGGGCCCGTTGGCTTACCAGGGGAAGAAATTAAGCACAGGGTGAGGGTGCCTTGCTCAAACCTTGTCTATCCAAACATGCTGAACGATAGGAGCACTGGCCTGGCACTAGCTGGCATGCCCTCGGTGTGCCAAAGACGTCCCAGCAGACTTGCCAGTCTCACGGTGTGTTTGGTATCCACCGTAAAAGCAGGCCTTGCGCTCTGCTGCTGAACCAGATGAAGCGCGGCTGGATGTACGGCATGTTGTGAGCAAGAGGAAATGTGTGGAAGATGGTGTACGAGCCCAAGTTTGTTCCTCCCAAAATGCAGTTTGAACATGAGCGAGCCACGGAGCACTTAGTGGAAACAAATGGTTTGAGGTCTGCAAGTGTCGCTGAAAACTCCCATGTACAAACTCTGGCGAACATACCCAAAGCAAAACTCTTTGGAAGTTTACAAAATCTTCTTTGAAGTTAGTATTTTGATGTTTTGTCTGTGGATGGGGACTTGTAATGCTTGCTTGTTTCTGTACCTTGAAGGACCTTGACCCAAGTCAACATTTTTGTGTTAAATGTATAGGTGCGGTGGGATTTTGGAGATACAGAAGATTTTTCTGCTGTGTTAGTGACTTCCTGGCACTCTCTTGATGGAAAACAGTGCTCCTGGGCTTTCCCAACAGGCAGTAGCTTCGAAGAGGACTTTAAATCTTCTAGGTATCTGAAAAAGCCATGTGTTTGTCTGGAATCTGACACGACAAGCATTGCAACCTACAGGAAGGCTGAGTTTTGTGATTTTTCTTTTGTCCAGTTAATACTTACACCAAGTTTTGTGGTTTGTGAGGAGAAACACTGGATGTAGGCAGCCAGGTGGAAAACAGTAGTTCAGTGTCTGATTAAGAGCATGGTTTGTACATAGTTCCCCCACAAT